ACTGGTTCTTCTTCATATATATATATATATATATATATATATATGTGTGTGTGTGTGTGTGTGTGTGTACGTCTGTGTATACGTGTGTGTGTACGTCTGTGTATACGTGTGTGTGTGTCTATATATAAATGCATGGCAGTCAGTTATTGTTTATCAGTTTATATATATGCATATGTAAATGTATCTATCGATTATTTTGTTCGTACATTTAAGTAAAAATATGCGTAAGCTGAGACAAGTCTGAAACAAGGCCACAAGATTTGGGCATTATGTATGTATGGGTATCGTCTGCGATATTTGACGTTCTCCCACAGGAACTTTTGCTCATCCGTTTTACGGATAGATAGATAGATAGATAGATAGATAGATAGATAGATTAATTTGCATAAAAAATATGTAAATTTATGAGGTAAATTTATTTGAATCTTATTTTATTTCTTTACTATTAATGCTCTATATATTGCTCTTGATATTGACCACTCCCTGTGTGGGTTATTTTTGATTACTTCACTATAATAGCAATAGCCCCTTTGCGATTAGATATTTAATTATTGCTCCACGTAGGAGTACGCATGAATTACTTTTGTTAATCCAGTAAGATAGATTACACAAAAGCGTGTAACAGTTGTACACCTAAAGAGCTACTTGAAATGCTAGAAAAACTTGATTTACACGAAATAGACATTAGAGTAACCTGTGAAGTTTAGTAAGAACTACTTGACGATTAATAATGAATGAATTCCAACAAAAAAAAAAAAAAACGAAATAAAAATAGAAACAGATGTATTAGAAAGATAAATTTCCTCATCGAATTTATTTCACCAATACAGAGAGACGGTCCGAAATATAAATCGACCTGTTAAGATTTATTATTGGTAAATATAATCTTAATAATATGAGGTATGCAGATCAGACTGTGTTGATGGTACATTCAGAAGTTAGTCGGACAGTACTAGATTACTAGTAGCAAAGGAAACAAAAACAAATAGATTCTTATACTGTAAAATGGGATGTATAGATGTCAGCAAAAAGATGCGAGGTACGAATTGGCAAAGTCAAAATGAAACATGTACATAATTCTAACTATCTGGAAAGTATCTTATTTTTCTATGTGCCGTATCACTTCAGGATGTTGGTAATCATAGCTCTCCACTATTTCCTGTCATTTGTAGCTCTTAACAAATTTTGTCTTTTTGCCAACTCTCCCAAATCCTACTCCGCCATCAATTCGCTCGAGCTCGCCGGGTAAGTTGGGCGTAGCTTTTCTTTGGTGCTCTTGCCTTCCATCTGTCCTGTGAGTATCAAATTTTCTAACTCCTCTTTCCTCATTATGTGCTCCAGAAATTTCAACTGTCTTGTCTTGATGTTAAGTATAAGTGTCATTTTTGTTGCCATTATTTCTAGAACTTCGTCGTTGCTCAATGTAGCTTCAAATCTTCTTCATCTGTAAGGAGATTGTTCAGCATCCACTGCCATAGAGGAGGATTGATACTACGTAACAGTTCAGTACTCTTTACTTTATTTGCAACGATATTTCTTTGTTTCTTAATACATTTCTCGACTGTGACACAGACATCCGAAGAAGCATTGAAATATCGAACCTGTGACTTCCAAAACTATGCTTGAAATAAGAAAATATTCTTATACTGCTGAACTCTTTTATCTAAAATTATATATATATATATATATATATATATATATATACGCTTTGAACTCTTTTATCTAAAATTATATATATATATATATATATATATATATATATATACTGAACTCTTTTATCTAAAATTATATATATATATATATATATATATATATATATATATACGAACTCTTTTATATAAATTATATATATATATATATATATATATATATATATATACTGAACTCTTTTATATAAAATTATATATATATATATATATATATATATATATATATATATATATATATACATGAACTCTTTTATATAAAATTATATATATATATATATATATATATATATATATATATATATATATATATATACTGAACTCTTTTATATAAAATTATATATATATATATATATATATATATATATATATATATATATATATATATATGTGAAAATATATAGAAAATAGGAAGGAACTGGTTAGGTAAATAATCCAAAGTCCCCTTAGTATTTTAGTTATTATTTTTAAAAAATAGTGCTCGATACAAAAGTAGAGCATAAATATAATTATTTATTTAAAATATGATTCCAAATCGCTACATAAGAGGTCTCATGTTTCAAAACAAGAGCCAAAACTTCAATATAATCCTTTAAATTAAATTGAGTTGAAAGTAAAATGGGCTCCGTAAAATTTCGCTTGAAGATGGAACGGGCCCATTTACTTTCAACTCAATTTAATTTAAAGGATTATATTAAAGTTTTTTGGCTCTTGTTTTGAAACATGAGACTTTATGTAATTTGGAATCATATTTTAAAATAAATAATTATATATATATATATATATATATATAT